CGCCAACACCTTACCCCCTTAGGGATAGATGCAGGAAAAAAACACGCTGATGCCCGACTTCTCCACTATTGTTAGAATCATTTTAGAGCCAGGAAAGGGACATCAGCAAAAAGAAAATGAAAGAAAGAGAAATGAAGAGAAAGTGACCTTCGTGGGATTCCAGCCCACACCTCCTGCTATTCAGGCAGTTATCTTAGGTCAGTTAGACTGGAAGGATCAACTTAATCTCTTGATTAGCGTCGAGTGAATCACTCAAACGCTAACAAGTTCGGTTCTGAATAAGCAAAAATAGAAAAAATTTTAATTAAAAAGTAGCACTAGATGGAGAAGACTATTTAGCAAGAAATAATTCAAAAGTATGTCCTTATAAGCTCGAATTATGAAAAAGAAAAGAAAAAGAAAAGAAATAAAGACTGAAAGAAAAAAGAAAGCAAAAGATTAAATTGTTAATTATTGAGGCATTTTCTTTCGTTTTATTGGTTTCGATTTTGATCGACTTGGCCGTTCACCGATTTCTTTTTCTTCTTCCTCATCTTCAGTTGATTCTTTTAGTCGTTTTTTTGGTTGCTCTGAATAAATTAAACAATACTTTAACGAAGAAAATATTCTTATAACACTCACTACTGTCTTCCATTTTATCTGTTACACATACATGGTTTTCGAAGTTATATGTCTCACCTTGCTTGATTAATAATTGAAAAACAATCCGACTAGCTTTCAAATTATATTCATTATAAATCTTTTTAACTTCCTTCACCGTGACTGTTTCGTTACCATCTATATCTAATGTTAAATAAATAAATAAATATATTCAGTATGTAGAAACGAAAATTATAATACAGCTAGCAACTGTATTTCCGTTATATAGTGTTAATTCACGATTATATGTATCAAACTTTCTTTTAATTATTGATAAATGTGGAAATCTAAATGAAGAGTAAATTTAAAATAGTTTTAATGAAAAAAAATGATCTTACTCTTTTATTCCTTTCTTAATATCATCTGAAGTTAAACGAACAGCAAGAGTTCCATCGTCTAATTCGTCTGCCTCGTTTGCATCATCCGAAATATATTTCAATATATTTGGATGAAGATATCCTGTGTCTGGGTCATTTTCTCTGTGTGCAACTAGTGACAATCGAATCCAAAATGTTTGATCAGAGCTTAATGTTTCTTTTTGTAGCTTGGATATCTAAAGAATAAAGATGATATTCAGCAAACAACTAAGAAGAAGATGAAAACTATTAACATACATCAATAGCCAAAGGATATCTAAAAGAACGACGTGGACCATCAATTTCATAGCGAAGACGAACATAAGCTGGTGGATGAGTTTTAACAGAGATCAATGTTTTTGCAATCACTTCGGCAAGCCATTCTGGAGTTTCTTCTTCAGCATGCTTCTTTAAACCATCCGGTTCGGATTCTGATGATTCATCAGAAACTGTTTCCGTGCTATCTTCGTCCTCGTCTGTAAAAAAAAACATTCCAAATAAATTTTACAAAGTAAATAAATTATTTACAAACCAGACGGAGTTGTAATAACAGACACTACATTGTCTGGTTGTAGCTCTATATCAAACTTAAGTATTTTGAAAAAAAACATGAAAAAAATACCGTTAAAATAGTTATCAACTCCCGAGATGTGACCAGCAAATAATTCTTCATCATCAACACGATCATCAGCGTCAAACGATGTAGTTGGTTGCCCATTAAGACTAGCAGAAGTGACGTCTTCATCATCTCGACGATCGTCTGCACTTTCCTCAGATGATGAGGTTGTATCTGAGTCATCTCCTAAGCTGCTGCTTGAATATTCAGATTCATCGGAAGACAACTTTGTATCGTGCTCATCATCATCCGCATCATCATCTGTACATCGAGAAACGAAAATAAATACAATGAAATTAAAAGAACTCCTATGTCAATGTTTTAATTTACCTTCATCAAGTTGGTGTACCATGTATGGCAAATTTTGTAACGAAAATAAAATAAATCTATAAAGCCTGTCCATGTAAAAAAACGTGATTTCGTGACGCTTCATTTGCTCCATAACGCATAAACGACTTAGTATCAAGAATTAAATACATTTGCGATTTTAGAAGAAGAATTATGCTTTTCAAAATGGAGCACTCCAAAGTTGTCTACAACTTCTCATTCACTACAAACAACGGTGGCGGAATCACCTACTTCCGTGAACAAGTCGTATCATAGGCGGCGCAAGGTGAACTTTCTACGGATAGCAATAACTTTTTTAAACTCATAACTTTAATCAATAACAATAATAAGTTTTCTGTTTCAAAACCTATATTTAATCAATTCATTTATTTTCAAAATATTTTTTTTTCTATCGTGTTTTTTCGATACATGTTCAGTTACAATAGCATCTAACCTAGGGTAAGAAAGTCTTGGCACAAAATCTTTGCTCATTTTTCAGTTACTTAAAAACAATCAGGAAGAGCTAAAAGCAATTAGGAAGATTCAGAATGTGTTGCTCTTTTTGAACATAGGGTAAGAAGTTTTTATGTTAGCTTTTATTAAACAGCAATCGTTTGTTGCCTATTTGAAAACATTTCAAGCAAGTAAAAACCTATGGATCAGAATCAGAATCTTATGCTCCTTTTTGAATACACGCTCAAAAATTGTGTATCTATTTTTGTTCCAAAACAGTGAACGAATCTTCATGACGCACTAGAATCCGTTTATAGAGCGAACAAATAAGTTAATTGGGTTTTCATTAGTAAAACTGATCAAAATTGGTGGACCGGGTAATTTTGCAGAGCAAATATCGTTTACAAAATCTGATATGCAGTGAAATATAGGTTTTGATTTTTAAATATTCTCTCCGCAAACATCTGCTAAGTCAAAGCAAATTGTCGATAGCGTAAAATTAGGTTTGTGTGTAAAATGATAATTTAAGCGTCATCATACAATACAAAAATAAAAATCAAACAGAGGATTTTCTAGAGCCAATCTGGCTCTACAAGCTGGTATATCAACAAAAGTTTCAAATTTCAATTTCGCACCAACTAGTGAAAATCTATGAAAAATATTTTTGTACAAACTATATTTTTAGACATTTCAAAGATTTCCTCGTTACTATTTAATATAAGCCAACATAAAAATTTCTTATCCTATATTCAGAAAGAGCAACAAATTCCGAATCTTTCTAATTGTCTTCAGCTCTTCCTGATTGTTTTTAAATAACTGAAAAATGACCAAACATTTTGCGCCAAGACTTTCTTACCATTGGTTACATGATGAAAGTACAGTCTAAGAAAATAAGACAAGTCTCGGATGATCTAAGAGTTCTTCTAACAAATCTCAGAGTACGTGTTATTAGGGGTAGCAATAACTTTCTATTGCTACCCCTAACTACTATGGCGCGCCGCCTATGCAGCCGTTAAACTATTACAAAGCCATCTAACTTTTTTAAAAATATTTTTTCCCTTCAAAATTTGATTGATGAAATAAGACTTCCATAATGTTTAGACGAAAAATATAGGTGTCTTGAGTCGATTTAAAAAAGATCTCAACTGTTTTTAACAGATTCTCTCCGACAATACTAACATTCAACTAATTTGTATTTTTGTCATATTAAAATTATAGAACATATCAAAATGGCATAAATGAAATATTAGAGACGAAATTAATCGATAAGAATAAAGAACAAATCACGTGCATATTAATTTAGTCTTCAGAAATTTCAAGTGGATGATGGAAGAAAGAAAAATGTCTGCAGTGATTAATATTGAATAAATAATGTTATTTTAAAACATACAAGTGTTTTTTTGTAGAATTATTTTTATTGTACAACATGTTTATACATTCAGATGTATCAGAATATATATTCGTATAGAATAGAACAATATACGAAAGATTTCTTTTTGCATAATTATTAAAATCATGTATTGTCAATGTCTATTCAGATATTACACATCTATGACAAATAAACAATTGTATTCATATATATTCTTATTTATTTCAATAATCTTCTGACGTATGTTACAATCAAAAAAAAAAATTCAAGCTAAAGAAAAATCGAGAATGACTAAAATCCGATATTAAAATAAAGTTTAAAAAATTATCGAAGTTTCTATTTCCTCTACGTTGTACAATGCATGTCTCAGATCAAATCAACAACACTTATATTATTTTCATTTATTGATTTGCTTTACATATCTTGAGTTTTGTGCAAGTAAATAAACTTTGACTATCATTTATTCGATCAATTTACTAACATATTAGATCATTCTATCTTTCTTACACCGTCTACTCTGTTAGTATTAGTTCCAAAAATGACTCGAAGTCAATAGTAAACACAAAATCAAAACTATTGCTTTGTTAGTTTTTGAAAATTAATGTTATTTAAAAGAAGTAAGACAAAACTGTGTTTAACTTGGAATACAATCGAGCTGTATTCGTTATTGTAACATATGCAAAGTTTCAGAGCTTTAGTTTGTTAAAATATATAGGTTAGACCAATAATTCTATGGAGCAAATTGTTTAAACTAATCATTCACAAGTTCAGTCTATTCAAAACTTGTTAAAGGTGAAGAATACTCTGATCAGTTGTATTTCTCATAACCATTTTCCTCTGCCTTTTTAATTATACATTTTGTGTTTTGTTGGAATCTAAGCATTGAATTGTATTTTTTTTATGAAATTTCAAATAAAGTTAATCCTTCAAATGGGAATATCTAAATGTTTTACTAATGTAATTTGAATTGTTTACTGATACTTATGTATTAAAAACTGATCATTGTACTACTGACTATTTAATATTTTCACCGATCATTTGCATCTTTATTTACAGACCATTTCATTTATTCTATTCACATAGTTCGATTCTCAATAAGCAAAACAAACAAAAATTTTTAGTAAGAAAAGAACAATAGGTGGAGAAAGCCATTTTACAAGAAATAATTCAAAAGTACGTCTTTATAAGCGTGAATAATGAAAAATAATAGAAAATAGAAATAAAAATAAGAAATTGTTAATTAATGAGAAATTTTCTTTCGTTTTGTTGGTTTTGATTTCTTCTTATTTTTCATCACTTTCATTATTTTTACTGCTCGTTTGTTTTGTTGTTCTAAATAAATTAAACAATACTTTAAAGAAGAAAATATTCTGATAACACTCATTACTTTCTTCCATTATATGTGTTCCACATACAATATTCGTGAAATGAAATCTTCCATTTTGTTTGATCAATAGTTGGCAGATAATTCGGCTAGCTTTCAAGTTAAATTTATCGAACATCTTTTTAGCTTCACTCACCGGAATTGTTTTATTACCATCTATACCTAATGTTAAATAAATAAATATATATTCAGTATATAGAAAAGAAAATTGTAATACCACTAGCAATTCCGTATAGCTTAAGTGGCGTTAGTTCACGGTTATATTTTCTAAGCAGCCTTTTAAGTATTTGTAAACGTGGAAATCTAAATGAAGAATAAACTTAAAATAGTTTTATCAAAAAAAAAGACACGATCTTACGCTTTTACTCCTTCGTTAATATCATCTGAAGTTAAAGGAACACCAATAGTTCTATCGATGAAGCCAATTGCATCATCGGAATGATATTCCAATTTATTTGGATGAAGATAATCTATTTCATTTGGATGAAGATCATTCTTTTTTGTTGATTTTCCGGGCCATACTGCTGGTAATAATCGAATATAAAATGATTGATTAGAGCTTAATTTAATGTTTTTAACACCAGATATCTAAAGAATAAAAATGATTTTCTATAAAAAAACTAAAAAGAAGATGAAGAATATTAACATACATCAATCTCCATAGGATTTGTAAGAGATTGTGCTACTTGACGCTGACCCTCAGATTCATAGCGAAGACGAAGTTCAGCTGGTGGATTAGCTTCAATATCCATTATTGGTTCTGCAATCGATTCGCTAAAGATTACTACACTCGTTTCTCCAGCATGCTGCTCTAAAGCACCGAGATTGATTTCTAATAATGTATCAGTAACTGCTTTCTTGTTATTTTCATCCACGCCTGTAAAAAGAAACATTCCAAAAAAGTTTTATAAAGTAAACAAATTTTAACAAACCAGACGGAGTTGTAGTAACACTCTCATCATCGATTTTATCTAGAATATTATCAAAATTAATTCGTTTGAAAAAAAGATGAAAGAAAATACCGTAAAAATAGGGCATAGTTCCCAAGGCTGCACCATGAAATAATTCTTCATCATCAACAGGTTCATCAGGCATAAACGATATTGTTGGTTTTCTATTAAGAATAGAAGAAGTAAGGTCTTCATCATCACGACGATCGTCTGAACATTGGACAGATGACTGTATGATTGTATATGAGTCATCTCCCAGGCTGCTGTTTGAACTTTCAGATTCATCGGAAAGCAACCCTTGTACGTTGAGCTGTTCAGAATTCTGCTCATTGGATGTGTATTGCGATTCTAAAATAAATACAGTGAAATTAAAAAAACTACTATCTCAATGTTTTAATTTACCGTGATTAGGTTGATCTCCCATATTTGTTATAAATTTTTTCTCTGAAGCAAAAAGATCACTATAGGTATTTAAAAAAAAATTAGCATTTGATTTGAATATTTTTTCCCGTCAATAATTGATTACTCACCTTGTCAAAAAGGATTTGATTGGTGAAGTGAAATCCTATAATGCTTAGACTTAAATACAATAGATGTCTTGAGTTGCTTTAAAAAAGATTGCAACTGTTTGTAACAGATTTCCACCGACTTTCAACTAATTTGTATTTTTGTTATCATATTAAAATGATAAAGCCTAGAAAAAGAACATAAATGAAATATTAGAGAGAACGCTAACCGAAGAGGAGGAAGAAAAATGTCTGCTGTGATTTGCATTAAGTAAATAACGTTATTTCAAAATATATAAGTATTTTTTGGAAAATATCTTTATCGTCTAACATGTTTATACATCGAGATATATTAAAATATATATTCGTATAGAATAGAACAATATATGAAGGAGTTCTTTTTATATGATTATTAAAATCCTGTATTGTCAATGTCTATTCAGATATTACACATCTTTGACAAAATAAACGATTTTATTCATATATATTCTTACCTATTTCAACAATCTTCTGGCGTATGTTACAATCAAAAAAAATTCAAGCTAAAGAAAAATCGACAATTACAAAAATCTGATAGTAAAATAAAATTTAAAAAATTATTCAAGTTCTTATTTCCTCTACATTGTACCATGCATGTCTTAGATCAAATCAAAAACACTCACATTGTTTCCATGTATTGATTTACTTTACAAATGTTGTGTTTTGTGAAAAGCAACGCATTCTGATTGTCATTTATTCGATCAATTTAGTTGCATATTAGATCATTGTACCCTTCTTATACCATCTATACTGTTAATGTTAGAATGTTACAGATCAAAAAATGACTCGAAGTCAATAGTAAGCATAATAACCAAAACTATTGCTTTGTTAGTTTTTGAAAATTAATGTTATTTAAAAGAAGTAAGACAAAACTGTGTTTAATTTAGAATACAATAAAACTGTATTCATCATTGTGATATATGAAAAGTGTTAGAACTTTAAGCATGTTAGAATATACAGATTAGATTAATAATTCTACGGAGAAAATTGCTTAAACTAATCATTCACAGGTTCAGTGTATTCAAAACTTGTCAAAGGTGATGAATATTTCGATCCGTTGTATTTTTCATAACCATTTTCCTAAGTTTTTGTTATTTATATATTTTGAATTGTATTTTCCTCATGACATTTCGCTTTATGTTGTTGCCCATTAGCTAGAAATATATTTGTATTTAATATTTATATTATTTACATTGAACAAACTTTACCTTCAATTTCATGAATAGATTCTGTTTGACAAAAACAATCTGTTGGATAGGCAAGATTATTTTGATCGACTCGAACAATTTGAAAATTTAAAATAGACTGTTGAAGTTTATATTCATCTCGAATACGTTTTGGTGTCTTGATTTCGATTGAATGCTGATCTAAAAATTGAAGAAATAATCATAATTTTTTTTGTCGTTTTCAATTCTACCTAAGACAACAAGTTGAGTCGATGAATAGATTGGTAGTGTATTAATTTTAGCTAAATCATATTGTTTAAGTCTAATCATTGTTAAAGTATAAATTCTACAAAAGAAAAGCGAATTAATGTAACATCTGAATTTTCGATATATAGAAAAGTTTACTTCATAGTACCAGTTTCCATATCATTATCATTAATTGGAATAAAAATGGAACCATTATGAATTTTTGCATATTCATTTTTAATCCATATTGGATATGGATGGTAAAAAATCAAATGATCTTTTCGATGATCTATTGTCGTTCGTGTTATACGCATCCAAAGTGTATCACCAGTAATAAGATTATGACGAAGATCAGGAATCTATTAAAATTAAACTATAGAAAATTCGTTTGAAAAAAAATGTGTATCTACTCTGATCGTCATTATATTATTATCTGGAATAGATATATAACGAATTATTTTTTCACATTCATTTGCATATCGAACACGTTGATTGAGAGAAGGTGAAACGAGAATTATCATCGGTCGATAAATATAAATAAATTTATTACTATTCTCAAATGTTGATGTGTTTATATCGTTTGATGATAATTTGAGAATTTCATTTTTAATTGTAGAATTATCTGAATAATCGATTGTATTTATTGATTGAGAAAATTGTTTAGTAAATACTTCATCAGAATTAATCAAATTTTCCCATATATTCACATCGAAATCTTCAATTTCTTCTGAGAATTTAATACAATCTAAAAAATACATCATATATGTTAAGAAAGAAAAACATTTTCTTGTTTTTTTAAATATATTACCATCTATGATAGACATTATTTAAAAGTGTTTCAACTTGATGAGATATATTCCGTAAAAAACCAAGAATATTTTTCTACGTTGATTTGTTTTAAAATGTTGTTGAGTAATTTGACCTTCGTATATACTGTCTCTCTTTCGAATTCAACGTCTAGATGATAGGAATAGAAAAAAACTATATTTTAAATTTTACTATAAAATGTCATTGTAAATTATAACTCATAGAAATTTACAGAGTAGTATTTTTATTGTAAGAGAAGTTTTTCAAAACTATTTATAGCTACTCAGTTATACTCGATAGACAGAAAATTATACTATAAGTTTATCGGGAATTTGTTTTTCGAGATTCTTATCGTTGTGTTTGTGCAGACAAGAGAGATTTCAGTGAAAAAATATTTACTTTGTAAAAATGAAGGACAAAAAAACAAGAATATATCATAAGATAAATACTTTTATTATGAATTAAAAACACATACAATGTCTGGTGTTTTATTTCTTTACGTAGAGTCGATTGACATTATATGTTTTGTCTAGAAAATATTAATAATAGGTTTTTTAGTAAGTAAATTGCTAAAATGATATTTAATTTATGATAGATATATAGTAGTTAATAAATTAAAATTCTCTTCCGAATTTTTCATTAAAGGAAACAATTAATAAAAGTACTCTTTACTATCCGTCGCGTCATACATTATGAAAATTGAAGTTTTTTTTCCCCGACAGAATATATTTATTTACAATTTACGAGACATGCGATGTTGATACTCTCGTTTGTAATAAGTTGAATTCTTTTCTACTCTTATAGTAAAAAACTATAGTATATATACTCAAAGACATGTTGTTTATTATAATTTACATTTTATTTTGATACAAAAAAAATATATGCAGGGTGCTTCAAAAGTCCCCTAGGAAAATTCATTCAGATATCTTTAGTTTATAACAAATGTCCAAAATGAGTACCTTCAACTAAAACACATAAATCCATCATTTTCGAAATAATTTCTTTTCGTTATCGGTGCTTATTGAACGATATTCAGTGATAAATTCTCACAATTAACGCTCGTTCTCGTAGAAATGCATCCTCTTCACATTTACTGGAAAAAACAATTAAAAACCGTAGAAAATAGGTTTTCGATGTTCTTTTGACCCTGTGGACATACAAGCAGACAGTTTATGTTTACTGGACTCTTCTCTAACTTTTGAAGGTCTTTCAGATTGCTTTCCATTTACTATTATACTCATTTTAGAAAAGCATTAATAGTACAGAATTCGACTTGCATTTTTTCTTTCACAATGATAGATGACTTAAATTTCGACAGCTGACAATATACAAAACAAAACTTTAAAGAGCATACTGTCATTTTATTCAAAAAAATCAATCAGATTGCTTTAATTGTGTAAGAGACTCATGGAACACCCTGTACAGCACTGCTATATCTTGATTAAATTATTTGTCATAAAAATTATAATACCAAATCATTGATTAAATAATTTCAGCAAAATCATCATCTACATCATAAAATGTACTCGAAGAAGAAGATAGTTCAGAAGTATTTGATTCGTCAATAAAACTGAAAATTGAATCATTATTACATCTGCAGTAACATGTAGCTAATAAAAGAAAATGTTGACTAGTTGTTAAATAAAAATATTACTTACATGGTTCATAACAAAAATTAACACGTGCAACTTCTTGATTATTTTGACGAACAACAAGAGGAACTTCCACTTTATGATTTTCATTTACTTCTATTAAACATGGTGGAGTTGTAAATGTAATTGTTTTTGAATCAACAAATCGAAATAAAACTCGTTCCTGATGTTGTAAAGAAGGATATTCGAAATATACTTCACATGCTAAAAGAAATGAATCGATTAGTTAAATAAAAATAATAATAAAAAAAAACTATTCACGTGTTTTTCTATCAGATATGGGAATGACCATCAAAATATCATCCCCACCAATCCAATGACCTTTTTGTGGTGAACATCTAATAATTGCATTATTATTCGTTACTCTATCTTTTGTAGCAGTCATTACATTCGAATATACAGATGTTGCATTGAGTACAATAAGTCGTCCACTAGGATCACTTTGAACAAGAGAAAATAATAATTGCGATTTTTCTAACTGGTAGACTTTAGATAATTTTCGAACATCAGTTGGATCATCAATGCGTTGAATATCATTGTCATTTGAATGTACAATATGTAATGGTCCATAGTTTTTTAATTCATATTGAACTAATTTCTTACGAATAATTCGAAAACTAAATAAAGAAGATTTCACCTGAGAAATTATTTCTATTTTTGTATTTTACCTTTTGAAACCATTTATACAGTCTTCTTCTGTTATTGGAAAAAAAAGTGAATTTCGATATTCATTTTTAACAACGTTGACTTCGTCAGTATCAATTGGATGCGGATGTATGCATTGTATAGGTGCTTCTTCAGTTGGAACAGTGACGAGAATTACACAAATATGTAATCCTTGGTTATACCATTCTTTAAGTATCTAATTATTAATTCATATTAAAAAAAATAAAATATTTTATGAATATCTCTTACTTCAACTGTTGGATATTTGAACTGAGTTGAATTAGAACCAGTAATAATAAAACGATTCAATACAGTACCATTACGACACATTTCACTAGCATATCTACTACGATAAAATTGTTGTGGTTCCGCAACCAAGCGCAGTGTTGGTTTCGAAAGTGACATTATTTGAATATTCAATTAAGAAAATATTAAGAATTCGTTGTATTATGAATGGCATCATTGAATAGTGAGACGTACTTTTATTTACCGCAGGTTATGAGTGAAAGATCTCATTACGTTTGGAATACTACCACATATGTCATAATTTACGAGTTTACGAGAGCAACATTCTTCAAGATATTTTTTTCATTCTCTCTTTCTTTCTTTCTTTCTTTCTTTCGTTCTTTTAATATTAGCTTTGTAAAAATCCTTGTAAATATTATCTATGACAATTCATTGATTTATCAGTGATATAATGACCGATTATTCAAACGATAAAGTACTAGATTTCCCTTGATTAAGTATTATATGACTAAGATTGTTATACTCTATATGAAATAATAAAGCACTTTATACTGACATGTGATATGACACATGGGGATATTTTTTTTAATCGCAACTTTATCTTGCGTTCTATTGACTTTTGTATTTAAATAAAAATGTAAGTTTATTGTTGACATCTGTAAAATTTTCTCGCCAAACAAAAATATTAAGAAATTTCCAGTTTCTTATTTAGAATTAAAACGAAATTTTTTTAATCGGATATTTATTTAGGAAGGTATATGCATCAATCAATTTCATGGGAATTTGAAGTTCCATAGATCTTCTGTACGATCTTTTTGTTTTTTTCTTGACGTGATCATTTAAAGATTTTCTCAATAGTTATATATTTGTACTAACTACTTCGAACTAATTTTATGATTAATTAATTCTTTCCTTGGATGAAAAAAAAGGTCTACTTCTAACTACATAAAAAATCAACAACAAAAATATTGGCATAATTCTAAAACTTATAGCTATTTCTAATGTCTGATAAAATGCAACTAAGTAATCAATAATTTGTATTCTTCCAAATCAAATACCATTGCTTATTACCGATGTATCATTATGAAAATATTTTAAAAGATAACGTGTAATTGGTAGATTATTATTTTTAATCGATAGTTCTAATGGTGTACGATTGTCTTCATCAGTGTTACCGAACTTTTCTTCAATATTTATTGATTTTTTCACCAGATCTTCAATTAATAGGTCACATATTTCTTCAGCATCTTTATTCAATGCAAGAATATGAAATATATTTTGTTTTTTATTATTGACATCATCGAGAAGTTCATCAAATTTTTTGTGCTCTAATAGAATCTTAAGAACATCAAGGTGATTGAGACGAAGAATATGAAGAAGAATTGTTTCACCTAATTGATTTTTTTGTTGAAGTAATTTGAGTGGAACAATAGGAATAAACTGTGATAGAAGATAAGAATAATTGTTTTCGATAGCTGTATGAAATAAATGTGGTTGTTTTTGAACAAATAATCGACAAATACGTAAAAGTGGTGTAAAACTATTAGTAGTAAATAATAACTCAATACTGTCTGCAATTTTATCCAGAACTAATTGAATGTTGTTCTTTTTAACTATTGATAAAGCACCTAAAATGAAATAGTTTATCATAGTTTTATCCGATTTAATGAAAGCAGTATTCAAGGGTGTGAGTGTGGGTATTTCTATTATCTACTTACTCTCACCCATCCTCATACCTAGTGAAAAATTGTCAGATTATACCTCATTATGTAAGATTATAATCGAGTTTTTGTGCAACAAAATCAGGATTATAACCGATTGGAATCTTTCAAATCAACAATAATTCGATTTTTAATCAAAAAGAAATCGTCTAAATCAAATACAATTTTGATTAAAATCAT